GTTTTTTTTTTTTTTTGTTATATTAATCTATTAGAATCGAAAACTGCTCTTCTTCAATTATTATTATTATTTTTTTTGTTGTAAATTCCGCAATGGATAGCAGAACCACCACAGATGTTGTGTGATATTCCATCATGAAAGAGGTTCCGTTTTTAACTCTTCAAATCAAACTTGAACGTGCTGCATTCTGTTAAGGGTCATTGATGACCTAGAGCTGTTAGGGTCTCGTGTTTGTTACGATTTTTCTCATTTCTGGGTAGTCTAAAAATTGCGCTTCTTTTCTGTATGTTAATCCAATTACAGAACTCGCTTTTGTTTTGTTGTTTTTAAAGGGAAAAAAAAGAGGAGAGGGGGGCGATTGGAGAATTTTTTTAAACAAAACGTAAATTTGATTGAGCATTAATTAATTTTTTTTTTTATAGATAAAAAATAGTTTTCTCTATTTTTTTTTTTTTAATATTGGCAAAATTCCTTAGTGATGATATGTTTAGCTCATGAGACACGAAACTCGTCTTCGTGAAGACTCGGCGCATACATTATTGAAAAATGTGGTGTTAATGCATAAACGTTCTGTTGTATTCCATTAAAAAATAAAAAAAAATCTCTTTTATGTTGCCATCTGAAGCAACGGATTTTTAATTGGTATGAGGAGATGTCAAGTTTGATAAATTTTGTATTTTATATTTATTTATATAAAAGTTTAACACTAAATAGAGGAGAAACACGGCGTCTTTGATTATTTGAAAATTGAACCAGTTTACGTTTCGTGGTTTAAGGATATTTTTTTTCCGCCCAAATTTATTCAGCGCAAGGGAGATAACTTGATCCGCAGGGAGATAATGCGTGCAGCGTAATAAAAGTCATGGCACCATGGTTTAAATTTAAGGTGCCTGGTAGCCATTCAATAACCAAAGGATTTTCCTGTATGCCTGAGCACAGTTGATTAAAGTTTAAAATCTTTGGGAATGTTGGAAAAGCGCCCAGTAATTAAAAATTTTTTTTTATAAATCTTTTTCAATGCATTTATGAGCTATAATGATTTACAGGTTTGTTTAACAGGCCCATGAGTTCCTAGATACGCTTAATTATTTTTAATTGTTTCACATCAAATGCATAGTTTTTGTTTTAATTATTCACCGTGGTCACTAATGTTACATGTGGTGATCATAAAGAAATTTTTTGTCACAACCCAGCCATACAGTTCTGTATAATATGTTGTAATATTCAATTGACAATTTCAACAATGTTGCTGTCTCTTGGTTTGGGTTTTCATGATGTATTTACATTTTCAGGGGTATGTTTTGTTCTGATATTATAAAACTGCTGTTATTTCTACCTCAAAATATTTGTTTATGGATGAAAGTTCAATAAGAGTTATATTGCTTGTGTGTATAGGAAACAGTGTCTAGAAATACACATCATTATGACAAAGAGATCCAAGTGTTGAATTTTTTAAAATTTATTTTTATGGCACTCAAAGGTCTTAGGCCAATTAAAACTCTTTTATAGTCAAAGGCTCTTAACCTTTCCTGAACCTCAGAATCCTTATTCATAGTCTGATGGAACCTATACTACCTTGTAGGAGTTGTAGTATACAGCTCGCTGACAACCAAACAGTAACAACTCCTGTGCTAGGGCCTATTAAAATATGTCAACCTATTCTGTCAACATAATAATTCTGAGAAGCCTGGAGATTTAAAAATAATTTTTAAAAATAAAAATAAATTTAAAAAAAAAAAGAAAAAAAAAAAGAAGAGATTTGAAAAAGCAAAAAAGAATATTGTCCTTCTTAAAATCAGTGATTCCCAAATTGGATGCATGATTTAGTAAGAAAAATGTAGCCCCTAGTAATATATCTACAAGAGGAAGAAACGGCAAGAGGCACATATTTTTAGTTTTGAGATATTCAAATTTGAAAGTTTAAAAACTAGGCCCATTAAAAATGTGAAAACAAAATTTAATTTTTAAAAATACATTTTACAAGATTGTCAATTTTTCCGAGTTATTAAACAGATAAAGTTTTTTCAATCTTGAATATAACATGCTTTATTACATGATAGCAGAGAGTATAGTCATACATACATATATATATATATACACATATATATATTATATATTGAAAGAAGATCAGAATTTAAAAAAAAATAAAGATGTGTAATATTCCGTTATAACACTCCTACCTCCCCTTTACCGCTCTCTTCTCACATCTTCGTGTCGTCCCATGTCAAGGGCGGATCCGATTTCTCCTTAACCGCAAAACTATCTCTCTTGCGTTTTTTTTTTTTAGTTTAATGCATGCCAAAAAAGAAAAACACGGTGGCGGCTCAGACACCACAGCGCATGCGTCTTCGTTAAGCGGTCCCTAAGTTGGTATTTTCTTTAAAGAGAGAGAGTTGGAGATCTTCCACATTCCTATGAGCGGGTTGTAGATTGTGTGGTTTAAAAATATGTGCTTGGAATAATAGAAACGTGAGGACGGCTTGCGGGGCGGGGGTGTCTAATGAATTTTTTGGGGTGTGTGACTCTTTCAAAAGGTCACGTGGATTGTAAGCAGGGCCTGGAGTTGATCGTGCCCATTGGAGTCGGGATCGTTTTTTTTTTTTTTTGTTATATTAATCTATTAGAATCGAAAACTGCTCTTCTTCAATTATTATTATTATTTTTTTTGTTGTAAATTCCGCAATGGATAGCAGAACCACCACAGATGTTGTGTGATATTCCATCATGAAAGAGGTTCCGTTTTTAACTCTTCAAATCAAACTTGAACGTGCTGCATTCTGTTAAGGGTCATTGATGACCTAGAGCTGTTAGGGTCTCGTGTTTGTTACGATTTTTCTCATTTCTGGGTAGTCTAAAAATTGCGCTTCTTTTCTGTATGTTAATCCAATTACAGAACTCGCTTTTGTTTTGTTGTTTTTAAAGGGAAAAAAAAGAGGAGAGGGGGGCGATTGGAGAATTTTTTTAAACAAAACGTAAATTTGATTGAGCATTAATTAATTTTTTTTTTTATAGATAAAAAATAGTTTTCTCTATTTTTTTTTTTTTTAATATTGGCAAAATTCCTTAGTGATGATATGTTTAGCTCATGAGACACGAAACTCGTCTTCGTGAATTAGGGCCTATTAAAATATGTCAACCTATTCTGTCAACATAATAATTCTGAGAAGCCTGGAGATTTAAAAATAATTTTTAAAAATAAAAATAAATTTAAAAAAAAAAAAAGAAAAAAAAAAAAGAAGAGATTTGAAAAAGCAAAAAAGAATATTGTCCTTCTTAAAATCAGTGATTCCCAAATTGGATGCATGATTTAGTAAGAAAAATGTAGCCCCTAGTCTCATTAAAAAATAAAAAAAACAATTGATCATGATACCTCATTTCAGAAAATAATATTGGCATATTATATGTAAAGATAAATTTGTTCATTTCCATTTTAATCTTGTGTTCATATAATGGGCCTGTAATCTTTTTTCTCTCTTTCTTTCTATGCACTAAACACAAGCATTTCTTTATCAGTCCTATTTAAGTCTTTAAAAGAACAATACATGAACAATTTTTGTGTTTTCGGTGCACACTATATGTGCTCTACGTGGCAGGAGTTGTCGCTCTTTTCTTTTTTGAGAATGTCACGCTCGCCATCTACTGCATCCTGGTCTATTTCCAGTCATTTTGACTTAGAGTCTTGGCATTGGAACAAACAGGCAAGGAGGACAGAGTGAGGCTGACAAATATGAGCAACTCTCCCTCATTTAAACAACAGACATCTCGAGTCAAGGATTACTACTCAAATCAAAGCCTTGGTCATCCAGGCATGCCAGGGACAAACAATAATAATCATAATACATGAACATTCCTAAATATAATCTTTTTTTTCTGTATTTCAACAAAGGAATCCTGATGCAAGTAGAAAACAATTTTGACCCATGTGAACAATTCTGTCTATTCTTTGCTCAGATGGCAGCACATGATCATCTTTCATGCATACAATCTGAGGGGAATACAAAGAAACTCATTCTGCAATCTCAGTCACTGATGCTGTTGTGCTGCACTTCACATTCAGGCTCAGCCGTCAAACAGTAAACAGGTGCTTTGTCCTGCACAATGTGACACGCTGGGGTGTCCCTGACAGCCAAACTCAATTCCTTGTGAAATATGCTTACCTATCATACAAACTAAATCAATGTAACCCATGATCGAGTCGTACCAAACCCCACACAAGAGGGAAAAGCTCAGTAAAAAAATATACATTATATATTAACATTTATATAGTCAGAACACGTTTAATGCTAATCATCTGGTTTAATATTTACACGAAAACAGACAAGGTAAACTAATTAAGGGTTGTTGAAAATTTATTTTCATAAAGAGTCTCTGTGTTCTGTTTACACAAAATACATCTAATTGATAAACTGTACATGCGGGAGCAGAACAAAGTTCAACTTTTTTGGAAGGGTAGCTTTTCATGACCAAAAAAACAACTAAAAAATAAAAAAATAAAAAATGCATACTTTTAAGAAAGATTTTTTTTTTAAAAACACCTATGAAAGAAACGGGGGAAAAAAAATCATAACAACATTAAAAATATATCGAAAAATAAAGATAGAATACATATATTAATCATGACAATAGGATATTTTCAGGTAATTCAGTATAAGAGTAAATGAAATATGACAAAATGATGAATAACTGTAAGTAATTTAATCACATGTAAGTTATACATTATATTATATAAATGCAATACCTTTGGTTGTAAGAAATATCAGGACAAGACAGTTTTAAACAAAATGAAAAAGTCAACTGAAAATATATATTTTTTTAAAAGTTTATTTGGAAATATATTAGCAACTTGTCTTATAAAATCTGACCCAGGTATAAACTCTTATATATGTGAATAACTTTTATCAGCATAGTTTAGCACATTCATTACCCAGCTTGAGACCGATCCCCTATATGAAATCATTCAACAATTTGACTTATAACCAAAAAAAAAAAAAACCCCTTTATAATTAAACCTTTGCCTGTGAATAAATCAACATAAATCATTTGAAACCCAATCGGAAAAAAAATAATATAATACTGCATCAGCGTTAAGTCAAATTATTTACCCAACTGATGTGCTGATGTGTGTCTCTCATTGTCACAACACTCTCTGCAGGGGGTAAAAAAAATTGACTAACTAGTTATGAGTGAATCTAATGGAAGGAGTAACATCTATGGTTGAAAATCACTTTTTCTTCTACTTCACCTATTCAACTTAAAAAGAAATATTGAATTATAAAGAACAGCTTGCAATGAGATTTCTTCCTAATGTCGTGCAAGGGATGAAATGGATTTATGTGGAGAAATGTCAGAGTGGTGACGTTATTTATATCTGTCCATGATGTCATGATTCGTCCATTTGATGAAGTAGCAAATGATGACATGATTATGTTTACCATGACTTATTAATTTATACTAACTATACATCAATCACACCAACACATCTAACAGGGAAAGGGGGGGGGGGGAACATCAAAGCTACTGCTTGTCTAATCATCATCGTGTGTTTAGAGAGTAATATTTATTTCCTATTTAATTTGTATGGAAAAATTATATTTTAAAAAAAGCCACAAGTCTATCGGCCTTGGCACAATCAAATACTTATATCTTTGACGAAGACAGGATTGATGACTTAGATGAGTGTCATCCATGACTCAGAACTAAGGTCTGCAAGAGCAAACATTTTAAGAGGTGATTAAATGTAAATTTCATAGAATATTTATAGCAGGCCTGCACAACTCAAAATGTAAGGCGGCCGTACTACTTTATGAAAAACTGGTGAGGGCTGTAAAACTTTATGAAAAACTTGTGCGGGCTGAAAGATAATAAGACAGGGGCGAAAGCTATTGAGAAAATAATAATGACAATAATTAATATTTCGTTACTTCACAGGCCGCCAACTGGGTGCTGGCAGGCCGCCCCGCGGGCCGTATGTTGTGCAGGCCTGATTTAATGAAAGAAAAAAGAAAAAAAAATGTCAACACCACAATCTGAATGAGGAAAAAGAACTAGTTTAAAAATTAGAAATCTTAAACTTACCTAATTATGATGATGGGTTGAAGTTTAAGAAAAAAATTCACAAAATGAAAATAAAGACGACTAAAAATAATGAAGAAATTATGACGCAATTTCTTCTAAAAGCACTGAAGAACTTATGACGCAAGTTCTTCTAAAAGCTCTGGTTATTGTTATGAAGGTGAATGTCAACTAAAAAGAAACAACTTTTAGACAGATTCCTTTCAATATAAAGAACAGCAACATTTGTTGATGAAGTCCACACGGGGGGCAAATTATTTTTGGGATCCAAAGGAGAAAGAACAAAAAATCATCATTAAATATATAACCATCGCCAGCATTTCCCTCCATTTCTCAGCACATCACAGATAATGTCTACGCACTTCAACCAGACCAACCCAAAACACAATGAATAGATAACTGGCCCACAGTGTCCCCCACCCATTCACTCTATGAACCGATACAACCACAATACACAGCCGATTTCACAAATAAAGATATACCAACGTCCTCCCTTATTCTCAAAGATTGACATGTAAAGATAAAAGTTTCCAATTAGGTTCACTTTAAGAAAGTGTACAGTCTGATGTCGCTACAAAAGTTATTAAAAAAGACAAGAAGACTGTTACCCCAAAAACTTTCAGTATCAAGAGATACACAAACTATGGCGCCCACTGTTTAACTACAGGGAAACGAAAAGAAAACAACTGATCTCCCCACTAAGCCATTCATCCTTAGGACATTTGTAAAGAATGCCCCCCCTCACACACACACACACTCACTGCATGACATTTAAAATGTCCCCTCCTTTTGATTTTAAAACATTTGTCCAGAAACAACTTCTCACTCGCCTAGAAACACAAGATGCCAAGGGGGAGACATTTCTTTGGCTATTTCCCAACAACTTTCTGTGCAACTCCAACAGGCAGGCTTCATTGACTCAGTCCACTTTCTATTTTTAGCACATAAAGTTATCCTCCATTTTCACATTATTATTGCCCTTCATTCACTTAACACTTGAAAAAATTTTAATGGTTTAATTGTAATCCCGGCCTGATATTTTGAATAGATCTTAAAAGTAAAATTTAAAAATAGACAATTCTGTATGGAGTCCTCCTCATATGGCAATGACATTTGCTGGTTTCACTTCACAAGATTCACAGGTTTTAAGGGTGTTGCTAGACAATAATTAAGATTTAAGTACAGCAATTGTTGTGGTTCCCTGCCCTTTTACTCTTCCAGCTTGGTCAGTTCATGCATGGTCTCTAGAATGGTGGCAGAGCTCCAAGCCTGTGTGCGGCAGCTGCCGTGACAGAACTGAAATTTTTAAATCAGTATTGTTTCAACACCCAAAGTGTATCTTCAAACTTCATAATATTTTGTCCCTTTAAGTCTAAGCATTGGCAGCAATTTTTGGATACATTTTACAAAAACCAATTACATTATTTTCGTTTTTTTTTTTAAATGAACAATTATTTTTTAGAGCTTGAGTAGCATCCCTTTTGAAAAAAAAAATGAATTTAAAAATGTTTTTAGTAACTTTTATGGATATTAAAGAAATTTGGTGATTTATCACAATAAAAATTAAAATGCACACTTCACGAAAAAACATTTTTCCCCACTTCGAGGATAGTTTTTTCTTCTTCATAATTCAGTGTGTGGAATAAAAATAATTTGTGTAAAAGAGCCCATATAATTCAATTGTATTCACCTTGCCCTCAGAGTTGGTGAGTTCAGGTAGACCCCGCCATGGGTTGGTCAGGATTTCCTCATAATGTTTGCACAGTACAGAGTTTATGTATAGCTTTGTTGCCAGGAGGGTGCCTGGCTTCTTGGACTCTAGCTTACTGGCATAGATCAGCTTGGCACGCAGGAAAAAACCTACCGGCCATACCCACTCCTGCAAATTGCAAAAAGATTATCAAGAAAAATGTTGGTTTGGATTGCATTGATGAAGGCACCGAACAAATTGAGAAGCACTCCGATATCAAGTAAATTCACACACAGGAAAGAGAAACCAAAGTTTTTTGTCTCAAACAAGACAAGATAATTACATTTGATAATGATTTACAACAAAAGTCTTAAAAAATTTCAAATTATAATTTTGTGGACCCAAGTACAATTTTTTTTAAAATTATTTATAAAGACTTTAAATTACTCCACTTTTTAAAACTTGAGGAATATTACTGAGTTGACTTTGTTATTTTCTTCACTTACTGGACCCTGATGGTAATTCCAGCCATTGGCCACATGTGGGTCATTGCTGTCATCATCATTATTGTAGTCTCCTCTGTATGCAAAATCACTGAACAAGAAGGAAAGAAGGGGGCACATTTTAAGTTACTTAAATCAGCATCGAGGAAAAATTATAAACCATTAAACAACACAGTGTAATCTTTATAACAGGGGTGGCCAACCATCAAGGAAAATTATAAACCGTTAAACACAGTGTAATCTTTATAACAGCGGTGGCCAACCATCAAGGAAAATTATAAACCGTTAAACAACACAGTGTAATCTTTATAACAGGGGTGGCCAACCATCAAGGAAAATTATAAACCATTAAACAACACAGTGTAATCTTTATAACAGGGGTGGCCAACCCACAGGCCACAAGCGGCACAGCACATTAAATGTTGGGGGCACACAGGGTTTTTCAAATTTGAACTTATTTCTCATTTAATTTGCTCTAGGTTTTTTTGGTTTGTGAAAGCGCGTGCCAGTATGGCATTACCGGCACTTATGTTGATCTCATTTTGAAAAATTCAATTCAAGTAATTAATTTCAGTTCTTAAATAATATCATTAAAATAACAACATTGCTGTTTATAAGGTGCTAAAAATAAAAGATTTTCATAAACACAACCATGACAAGGGGGAGCTACATTTCCAGTTTCTCCTGTTGCGCTCCGATTCAGTTTAGGATGATGCACAACTCAATTCCGGCACGCTCCAATACACATCTCTGCATTTTAATTTTTTTTCACGGGTTATTTCGGTCGGCTTCCTGTACTTAAGTGTTTATTAGTTTGGCTTCCTGTAGTTTTGCTCCCCCACCCCCGGTCGATCAAAGTGAAAGTAACAGACATGTTTTTTTATTTACAATATCTGTGTATGTGAAAGAGTTATGCTACAAGTAAAATCTACACAAGTTATTTATGTCTGTGGAGGCACGAGTCCAAGAGTCCGAATTTAAGAATTATGCCCATAGGGAATAATTAAATAACCCTGTGCATCGTTCATTTGTTGTTTATTTTTATAGACTGAGAAGCATTGCCTCGACATCAAAATGCCATGTGAAGCCATTTGGGTTGGCCACTCCTGCTTCCTAAAGATGTATTTGAAACAGAGTTGTCTATAGATGTTTGTGTGTATATGAATGAAAAAGACCATCAACTAAAACCTTTTTCTTTCTTCTTTTTTTTTAACTGATTTTGGAGAATAACTGCTTGGTACAAAGCAACTTCCCTTTACCCACCAACTTGACTTACACTTACATCTGGAACAATGTATAACAATTCAGTGACCATCAAAGTCTAACAATTCAGTGACCATCAAAGTCTAACAATTCAGTGACCATTTGTCTATTTTTCTGCATTGGTTTTTCTTTAACCGTCATTGGTTAATATTAATGTGTTTTAAAAATGTTACAAATTTAATTTTATAGTAATTTTCAACTTAGTCAAAATGTAATTTTGTGCCTCAGTCTTTGATGGCCTATCAACAATTCACCAGCACTCAATCCTTTGTTTTAAGATCCAGATGCTTGGCTCAATCCTTTGTTTTAAGATCCAGATGCTTGGCTCAATCCTTTGTTTTAAGATCCAGATGCTTGGCTCAATCCTTTGTTTTAAGATCCAGATGCTTGGCTCAATCCTTTGCTTTAAGATCCAGATGCTGGAAGCCAAGTACAAGGGCATTCAAAATGTTTTACTTCTCACCTGGGGTCAAGAGTCTTCATGCCCAACGGTCCCATTAAGACTTTCTGAGCCATGTCCAGAGCCGTCCAAGCTTTTTCTGGGGTGAAGATGTCTGGGCACTGGACAATAATGGACAAGGTTACTTATTAAACACCAGTGTCGACGTGACATAACAAAATTCTTAATCCTGGCGCTCACATGTCATCACTCATTCTAAGAGCCTATCCAGTACGTTGTACAATTGGATCTTGCATTGACATGTGTTTTTAAAAAAAAAAAAGAATTTCAGAAGCAATTCTTAACATTTTGTGTAAAGAGATGTAGGTAAAAGTATGGGGACATCCATAACAGATTACTTGGGGGGGGGGGGACGCGGGGGTAATGAGAGTTGGGATGTATATTAAATTGTGAGATTTTTTTTAGCTTAGATGGGGCAGGGGGGTGGGAAGATGTTCAGCTCATTTTTGCATAAGCAGAGAGTCTGTGTCCAAACATGTTTACAGTGTAGCAAACACCAGGGAGAGTGTATGAAAATGTGTGTGTAAGAAATGATGACATCTTTTCCAACTGCGAACTCACAGAAATCATAGCAATGGGAAAGTTACATCGGAGCTGGTAGTCCGTCCAGCAGAAGGAGGCGTTCAGTGTGTCCTTGTAGATGCCCCTCCTGTTGATCAAGTCCGGTCTGGGCTCATTGCTTGGGTCAGGTTGTGCTGAGATGTAGTAGTGCTTCTCAAAGTTGGATTTGATCTTATCATACCACTCCTTGTAGGTGACTTTCTCCTTGTGATCTGCACAGTGAAAAGTAAGTTATTTACAAAAAGTATTAATGATGTTTGATAAGGGGGAAAAACTAAGAGTGAGCTAACCTTACTGTTAAAATAGTGCAGATTTTTTCTTTTTATATTGATATATGCCTGTGTTATGGCCTAGTCTAAGCGTACACATTTCCCCAACTTGCTCTAACTTTAGCTCAGCATTGTTTTGACACATTAACTCTCCTCCCCCCACCACTTTTCTTGCTGTGTAATGAGGGTAACTTTCCTTTGGCCTTTGGCTAAGTCCCTTGTTCACCTTATGGACCATCTTCCCAACACATTAGAATACTCTCTGACCCTTGACCTTCTAGATTTATCCATTCTGGCAACTTCTACCATTACATATACAAATAAGACCATCAACAGTGGGGAGGGTACTTTCAGACCATCAGACACAAGACCTTCAGAATTCTAAGAGACTGATTGTTTGTGTGGACACTTATTATACCAGCATTGTTCTACCATCAGTGCATTTGTGTATAATGCTGTAAGTGTACTTAATCAACGATTATGCAGCTCTGCGTAATCAATTTTGTACTTCAATTTAAAATAATAATATATTAAACTGTTAGAAAAATTTTTTTTTTGCCCTGCCTTCAATTTAAAATATATTAACTGGTTAACTACCGTGTGCGCCTCTGGGAGCGGCTGGGCATTTCTTTTGTTATGGCCACGAGCCGCTGGCAGCGCCAAAGTTTGTATCGTAGTCAACGTGACCTAGATTTAAATCGGCCACAGCCGGTTTTTCAATCGGGTAGCTAATCAGTTAAACTGTTATACATTTTTTTTTTGCCTTGGTATGATTGGTTTTTATATACTGACCTTTCAGTCCTTGGTTATGAATTGTTTTTTCTGACGCGCCAATTTAAACACAACTAAATTTGTTAAATCCTACGACCCCCCAGCAACCAAGCAGAAACCTTATAACAGAATGTAGCAGCATGGAATATTTAGCCTTTAACTTTAAACTAAAATTTACTCATTCTATTTTCATAATCCCTAAAGCTAAAGTTAACATAAAAAGAAAAGTGTGCAGAGATCCATATGTTGCGGTAGCCACCCTTGTTGCGGCAAGCTGTTAAAAGTAATACAGGCTCTTCTTCTAACCCAAGAAATTACTCCCAAAAATCTTTTTGTGGAACCAGAAAACATCAAATAGATATCAAGGCAATTATACCAGTTAGAATATGGCGGCTTTAACCTTCTAATATATGTTTATGACTTAGTGCTTGTTCTCAACCCAGCCAACAAACCATTAGAGCTCTTCTTGTTAATGCTGGAAACCAACTCAGATTTTGAAATGCCTGTCAGCACAGCAGAGAGCTGACAGTTTGATTAAGTGAAACAACAGTGCCCACCTTTAACCAGGGCCTCCACTCCATCGTAAGGGTAGAGCTTTTTGCTGTGAGCATCGGCCAACCACTGGACAACACCGGCGCACATGCCAACTAATTCCACAGCAGAGCCGTCTCTGGAAACAAACCGAAACAATACATTCATACGCAGAACATCTCAAAATCAACAAGTTAATTACACAGCAGAGCCATCTCTGGAAACAAGCCGAAACAATACATTCATACACAGAACATCTCAAAATCAACAAGTTAATTCCACAGCAGAGCACAAAGTGAGAAAAATACATTTATACACAAAACATTTTTTAAACATGCACAATTTAAATTTATTCATTGAGGCTATGAAATATTTGTAGCATAACCTGGTTCTGGCCGGAGACTGGCAAACTATTAGATGAATATCTTTGGCCCAGAAAGAGGCCGTAATGTTAAAATTTATTCTCAGAGTAGTGAGTTCCGCTCTCCGATGCATAAGGGTACATTACATTCTTGACTCCGGCCGTTGGATTGCATTTGTTTTCTTCTAAAATTCATTGACCAGGGAATAATGCTATGGTTAAAAAAAAGTTATCTCTTGTGATAACGTTTCATTTTAATGTGTATGTAAAAAATTTAAAAAATGGAATGCTTACAGCTAATGCTTCAGTAAATCTAAATTAAGAGCAATCATTCACTGTCTTGCCCGGTGCATAAAATATCTATTGCTGTTAACCTTCCAAAACCTTTGTTACCTGGGGGTGGCCGGCTTTCCTTTGTTGCCAGCTTTCCCTGAGCTCCCCATCTTGTCCATCCAGGTACCACAGTTGTGTTCATTACCACCAAACACAAAGCCAGTGTTCCAGTCAATGCCAACTTCATTATTGAAACCTGCCACAGAGTGATGAGTCAGCTTTAAACCATGCTTGAGGCTAGCAAAGAATCTTTGGCAATAATAAACAAATCTTTGGCAAATAGAAAGCATGCCCCCCACCCCACCCCCCAAAAAAAAAGATTTGTTTATATATATATATATATATAGTGCTGGAAATAAGATACAATTTCATATTTCAATGTACACAGAGAAACTGTATAACAGTCAAACTCACCCTGATCCGTCATCTGGTCATCTATTTGCGGGCCTGCGTTCCGTTCTCTGAATCTAACACCCTGGGCATGTCTATTCAAGGCTTCCTGTATCACATCATGGAGAGGTTGGTCCTGTACAAAAAAAAAAAAATATTTTTTTTTTCCTTTTTGGCCACTCTTTTTCAAGCACAACTTTCACTTTTAGTTCTACCTTCTGCTCAATTTGCATTTTAAACAATTATATTTACCACTGACTGAAATTTTGTATGCAATAAGCTTCTTCCTCTAAACTTTAATAAAAAAATTATTTAAAAAAAAATATATATGCAGCATTACAAAGTTTTCAAGTAAATATGTTAAATTGTTTTCTTGTGCAATGAAAATGAAATGTTTAAGCAGCTTGCAATAAATAGAATCATATATTTTTTTTTATCACAGACAAGCAATTTTTATTTCAAAATGGATTTTGATGTTTTAATTCCCAGAGGAATGCAGTTGTGCCAAAGCAATTAGCATATTGTTTCATGCACAGCGGGTCTTGAACTTAACCTCAACCTGTGTCAAATTTGACTTATTAAAATGTTAACCCTATCAGTTGCATCACGACTTTCTGGCCCTTGAGCCTGAGTTATTGTAAAATCCCGCAATTTTCAGTGGTGCTAGTGAAGGTAACTCTTCTAAGTAAGGAGTTATAGAGAGCCTATATATGACCAAGAAGTGTCAAGCTCTTTTTCTGTTTGGGTTTGGTGGGTTATAAGCTTCACGCTGCTTAGGATTTTTTAAAAAATAGTGCTTTGTTGACAGCAGATTAACACTTCAACTTAATGGCATTTACCTTACTAGAATTGCTTCTAACTGCTGGTGTGAATCTGTCAGTGTGGACGGTGATGAATTTGATTCAGAAATAGATAATGGAAATAAAAGTGATGTGGATATTGAATTGGTTCAACATCCTGATGTCCCAGATGGGTGAGAAGATGAAGCTTATTATACATTTGCACAATTCTGTCTTTGTTACATACGAGTTAGGGTTGTTTTGAGGTTTAAACTTATTTTATGAACAAACATGATGCAGAGATGTTGGATCCCAAAACACAAGACTTCAACATAAACCCTTAATATTTCCAAATTGAAATTTTTTTTTTTTTTTCACTGACAGAAATTACACTGACAAACTCACATGGGCACCTGGCTGTTGTGGGTTCGAGCCATCATTCGGGTACATACGGCTCACAGGGTCTTTGAGGATGTTGTGACCATTCTTCACCTCGTTGCAGTAGTCCCTGATGGCTATCAGCCAAAACCAAACGGCATCCCTCGCATTAAACCGGGCCCCTGTGCCCTCATTCAACAGGTTGGGGATCAGACCGTGGCGCAGCGTGCCAGCGTAGCCAAGGATAATGTGTCTGAGGAAGAGAACATCAAATCCTGCTGTGACTGATATCTCAATTTTTGTATGGGAGGGCCGGCAGCCTAATCTAACTTTTCAAACTGAAATGGAATAATGACCAAAAGATTTTGGAATATAAAAAAAAATCTGAATTTTGTCTTTATCTGCGACTACAGCTCTGTGTAACTAGGGCCTCACTCCTTCTTGTTATCTCTCTATGGAGACATGTTAAAGTTTTGGAATATACAAAAAATCTGAATTTTGTCTTTATCTGCGACTACAGCTCTGTGTAACTAAGACCTCACTCCTTCTTGTTATCTCTCTATGGAGACATGTTAAAGGTCATCTGATCTAAGTAAAACCAGAGCAGATGTATCATTTGGCAGCTGCATGCGCTCTTCTAAACAACATCTCTATATATTTTTAGAGTTCAAGATCTCTATATGTTTTTAGAGTTCAATGATGCAGTTTTACTTTAAAAAAATTTTTTTTAACACATTCATGATGACGTGGCAGGTTTATATACGTACCTGGCCTCCTCGTGTCTCCCTGTAATGATGAGAAGACCACGTAGAGATATGAATGTGTCTCTCCCCCAGTTCCTCATGTAGCCGCTGCCGAAGTGAGGGAAGCCTTCAAGAGCAAACAACAGTGTTACAGCAACTCTCAAATTTGATGTTAACAAAATAAAAGCTGATGGTTCACTTCCAGTCTGACATATTCCGTTTTTAGACTCCGCTGTAGTCACCATTGTTTTTTAAAGAATCTTCCAAATATATTTTGCCCGTGCAGCAAAGTGTTTACAATAAATAATTTGTCATTGACTGTGTTTACAATAAATAATTTGTTATTGACTGTGTTTACAATAAATAATTTGTTATTGACTGTGTTTACAATAAATAATTTGTTATTGACTGACTGTTTACAATAAATAATTTGTTATTGACTGTGTTTACAATAAATAAATTGTTATTGACTGACTGTTTACAATAAATAATTTGTTATTGACTGTGTTTACAATAAATAATTTGTTATTGACTGCGTTTACAATAAATAATTTGTTATTGACTGTGTTTACAATAAATAATTTGTTATTGACTGTGTTTACAATAAATAATTTGTTATTGACTGCGTTTACAATAAATAATTTGCTATTGACTGTGTTTACAATAAATAATTTGTTATTGACTGTGTTTACAATAAATAATTTGTTATTGACTGCGTTTACAATAAATAATTTGCTATTGACTGTGTTTACAATAAATGATTTGTTATTGACTGTGTTTACAATAAATAATTTGTTATTGACTGTGTTTACAATAAACAATTTGCTATTGACTGTGTTTACAATAAACAATTTGCTATTGACTGTGTTTACAATAAAGAATTTGTTATTGACTGTGTTTACAATAAATAATTTGCTATTGACTGTGTTTACAATAAACAATTTGCTATTGACTGTGTTTACAATAAACAATTTGCTATTGACTGTGTTTACAATAAATAATTTGCTATCGACTGACTGATAACAGAAACTGTTAAAGGATTGTATGCTAACCCAAGTGTCACAGAAAGGTTTTTATGGAGGAGGGCTCCAGCCCTGACTTATCACAAACTATATTAATTTAGTGGTGGTCAGAACAGGACCACTCCTCTCTGTGATTTATACATTTAGTATGTAGGCGTTGGGACAGACAAAGCCCAACGTAGACTAACTAAAACTAACAACTCCAGCTCCAGATGTACAGATGATGAAAATGGGTTTATTTCTTAATGTTATGGCAATGGCCTTGAATGACCATTTCATGGCGTGCCCAATCTGAACATCTGAGGCGTTCAATTATGAAAGTCTTTGTGTCTGCCATGTGCAATCAGAACACTCTGAAAACACTAAATTTTTTGCCTATCCCCAAAGTCTATTCTTGATCTGCAGCTATTAACACTAAGTCTATCACGTCAGAATAACCATCCACGAATCCATAACCTTTTGAATCATCAATTCTATCCTCTCTTTCTGGAAATGCCCCTCAGCTCATTCATGATCAAGCAAACGTGGTGCGACTTATGAGCAATGGAGCTCTGTCCTATATCCCCGCCCCAGTCATAAGTGACACTAAGCATGAGCATTAAAACATCTGCCCCTCCCCCCAACAAAACCCAACTGACATCGACTATTTATTAAAAGTGTTAAAATATTTTATACCGACCCATGCATGACCTCAAAACCCCCCCCCCAACCTTAAATCATCCATTCCCCACCTACCAGCAGACATGGACAGGGGTGCCTGCTCCAGCACCTTGGTGTGGTTGTTGAACTCTCTCCTGGGCTGTGGTTTGAGATCAGGTGAGAGGAAAGGGAGCCTGGCCTGGCAGGTGTAGCCCACCACCTGCAGGGATGTGAGGCTGAGAGCTCGGACAAAGCTAGAGCCATCTTTGATGAAACTGAAACCAAAATTGTAATAGATGGGTTCTGTATAAAGTCATCCACTGCTAAAATATGAATTTACTCAACAGTAGTTGTGCAAGACTGAAATGTAAGACAGGTATTACCTTTGTTCTTAAATCTTTACTTTCCATGTCAAAAGCTAAGATCAGGTTTATTCAGAAAATAGTGCAACAACCATTTCAAAATTCTAGGTAGGCTTCCTCTGTTTGAGGTTACACAGAAAAATGTAAGATTCTGACACGATGACTGCAGAGGCTTGGTACAAACTAACAGCTGTTCAGGGCCCTTCACAAATCACGATAGAGACAACTAGTCACCCTGTTAGCTCCTGATTGTCTAATCTTGATGTAGCTTTAAGATTACATTTTTTCATGGCCAGCAGGGTGCCAGACACTTACTCAGACATTTTGTTGACAGCTGCATCAGACAGGACAATGTCACAGCCGGTCATGATGGCATCAAAGTAACATGGGATCAGGAAACGAGGCATTTTCTTGAGGTGGTGAAACAAGGATTCAAACCACTTGGCCAGCTGAGAGACGAAAGTGAGAGAGATATGTACATTAAACTAATGAATTTAACATAGGAGCTCAGAGAACACAGGACCAATATCTTGTGTATATAAAGTTCTTTGAAAAGCAAATTTATTAGTTGACTTTACTAGTCTTGCAGATGATTAAATAGTTCATTAATTTTTGCCTACTAATAAAATTATTGGAATACCACTAGATGTACCACAGTGTGTAGATCAAACAATGACAAGAAAATGGACTTCAACTTCTTATACATGACAAGCAGTGGTATTAGCTGTTCTGTTAATACTAAATACAAGGGTGTGATAAGTTTAAACTGGTGTTTTAGATAATTCAATGTTAATTGACCAATGAGTCAATAGCCTTTGAGGAGTGACTGTTCCAGTTTTAGATTGCCCCCCCCCCCCCCCCCCCCGTCTTTTTAAAATGGACCTAAATTTTATAAGAAAGTTTTTAAAACTGGATGACATCCATAAATGGACTTTTCTGAGAATCTGCACCTTAGTTCTTTTTTAAATTTTTTATTAAAAGAAAAAGTTATAGAGTGATTATTAATTAATGTGTATACAATCTATTTTTAACATTCATCTCTTCCACTCACTGGCTCAAGGCTGGAGTGAGGCTTGAGGCGGTTGGCAATGTATTCGGGTAACCAGTCTCCATCTCTAAGGTTGCCACACAGGGGATGGCCCAGCTCATTCTTTGGTCTGATTTCACTGAGTAAGGACAGAACACCTAGGGGGAAGATAATTAATTTGGTTAACATTTCTTCACTTCATCAACCATCAAAGGACAGAACACCTAGGGGGAAGATAATTAATTTGGTTAACATTTCTTCACTTCATCAACCATCAAAGAATAACGGCAATGCACTTGTACTCATTCAAGAGTGGCATTTGGGACATTTATCAAACAGCAGCCATGTAACACCATGGTAGGGGTACAGATACCTTTAATGCCCCAGTAAACAACAGCACTATGATTGGGCACACATACCTTTAATGCCACAGTGCACCACAGCACCGTGGTAGGGGTGCAGATACCTTTAATGCCACAGTACACCACAGCACTATGATTGGGCACACATACCTTTAATGCCACAGTACACCACTGCACCATGGTTGGGCACACATACCTTTAATGCCACAGTACACCATAGCACCATGGTTGGGTATGGCGTAAACACCAAAGCCGTAGCAGTCATCTCGTTCCTCCTGGTCTATCCTGAACAGGCAGCGGTTAATGTCCGCCAGGGAGAGCTTGTCCACCATGGCCCGGAAGTTGGTGGAGTCAAGTGTCTCATCAAACATCTTGTTGCCGCTGTAGGACCGCATCAGGTAGCCAAACTGACCCAGGCCACGGCGAATTTCCAGGATGGCTCCTCTGGCATGATCAGGCAGTGAACATCTGAAAAGTTGGCCATTCAGAAATTAGTACAAGTATTTTCTTACTTAACACTATTGCCGGTTCAGGAAAGAGTAAAAATAATTTAAAAACTTAATTTTAATATCCCGTAAATCTTTCTTTCTTTTTAAAAAAACGGGACATTCAAGAAGCTAAAATTAACAATGAACCAAGTTAATGTTCTTCTAATATTTGTGCCCTTACAGTGTCCGTAATGAAAATCTTGAAATAAAAGTCAATATGTTATCACATGGTTTAAATCAAGTTAGTTTTTTTACTTGCTTCAAAATGAAAGCCTGGAACCTATAAACCTTAGAAAGCAATTATTTTTTTTTAAACTACGAAGAAAACTTTTAAATTTCTTATTCCTTATAAAAAATGTAAAACGAAATAGATTGCTATTTTCTGAATAAGTCAATACAAATTTGCTACATGCCGGATCATTTAAGGATTATACCGTAGTGATGGCAACGCAAAGATATCGGCTCACCTTATGGCAACAACACTGCCAGGTGTCAGGTTAATGAAGGAGACTTCATGGGTCACCCCATCGTCGAGGAGCCTGGCCGATATCACCTGGCTCTCACTGACTGGGAAGTTTTCTCTCAACTGCAGGTAGTAGTCGGGGAGACCATTGATGTAGTTCTTGTCAGCTTTGTAAACAAACTGTGCGGCTTGCTGAACCCTGCCTTCAAGAATCACTTGGTCAATATTGCCTGCAGATGATGAGAAAACAGTTACACACTGCTGCAGATCGTGACCTCATGTTTTAGAAGTGCCATCTGCCGTCAGGAATCTGGAATCTATGCACCGTTCTGTGTTGTCTTAATGCAAAGAGTGCAATAGTACAAGAATCAAAAGCTTTAAAAAATTACGGAGTTCTTTGCTTGTTTTTTTTAAATGATAGAGTTGTAAAATATCCCTTAAGTAAGTTGAAGTTCAACAACACTTTAGGTTGTCCAATTTTGTTTTTTCTGTAGGATTTTCTCCATCACCCTTTTTAAAAATAGAGTGAGCATCTTCATCCCAAAGACCAATATGAATTTGCTCTGATTGGACTTGGCAGACTGACAAGTAAGGGCCTAGTGCATCAGCTGTTTGGCCACCACAACCTCACAGACTGAAGAATCAGTAAGAAACTAAGCAAGCAAGGGACGCGGTATTTTGGAATCCAAATCAGCTGAAAAGGGAAAACTACCCGATGTCAGCTAACTGGCCTTGCAGGCTCTCTGGATAATGAAGACTAGGGAGAATCAGAGGCTCAAGGAGCAATAATTAGCAGAAAAATCCAGGAACGCTACCGGGAGGTTGACTGATTTGAAACCATTAAAACCCATGAGAGCACCAGCAGGTTGGCTGATATCAAACCATTAAAACCCATGAGAGCACCAGCAGGTTGGCTGAGTTTTGAAACCATTAAAACCCATGAGAGCACCAGCAGGTTGGCTGATATGAAACCATTAAAACCCATGAGAGCACCAGCAGGTTGGCTGATATGAAACCATTAAAACCCATGAGAGCACCAGCAGGTTGGCTGATTTGAAACCATTAAAACCCATGAGAGCACCAGCAGGTTGGCTGATTTGAAACTGTTTAAACCCATGAGAGCACCAGCAGGTTGGCTGATTTGAAACTGTTTAAACCCATGAGAGCACCAGCAGGTTGGCTGATTTGAAACTGTTGAAACCCATGAGAGCACCAGCAGGTTGGCTGATATGAAACCATTAAAACCCATGAGAGCACCAGCAGGTTGGCTGATTTGAAACCATTAAAACCCATGAGAGCACCAGCAGGTTGGCTGATTTGAAACTGTTTAAACCCATGAGAGCACCAGCAGGTTGGCTGATTTGAAACTGTTTAAACCCATGAGAGCACCAGCAGGTTGGCTGATTTGAAACTGTTGAAACCCATGAGAGCACCAGCAGGTTGGCTGATATGAAACCATTAAAACCCATGAGAGCACCAGCAGGTTGGCTGATTTGAAACCATTAAAACCCATGAGAGCACCAGCAGGTTGGCTGATTTGAAACTGTTGAAACCCATGAGAGCACCAGCAGGTTGGCTCAACTGAAACTGTTTCTTTGGTATTTGGTAGCATAAACTTGATAAATTTCAGAAAGAAAACTTTCAAGTGGAAAAGAAAGAAAACAATTATAAGCAATATTATATAAATAAAATGCTGGGCGATAAGACTTTTTTTTTAGAAATATAAAAATTTCCTTTTTAAGTTTCCAAAATAAATGTTACATTTTTAACCAACTAATTACTGTGGATGCTCCATCAAAATATGAAACTAAACAACGCTTGCATGGAACAGCTTCTGACCTTGCACTGTTATGTTTCTAATGTATCCCTGCTCATTAGGGTTGTGTGGGTGTGTGAATGCTGTCCTGGACACCACTATCACAGACTCGTGGTTCTGAGGTTTGTGCCTAGTGATGGACACTGTGCTGGGGTCCAGCTGATCAACGTACACCTGAAATTATAAACTATACTCTTACAAGCTCATTCCCTGACAGTATTTTGGTCCTAATTACAAATATGATTATAAGTGAAAGCAATGTTTAGAAAATATCATGGTGCGTGAAAGCTTTTCTAGCAAATATCATGGTGCGTGAAAGCTTTTCTAGAAAATATCATGGTATGTGAAAGCTTTTCTAGAAAATATCATGGTATGTGAAAGCTTTTCTAGAAAATATCATGGTGCGTGAAAGCTTTTCTAGAAAATATCATGGTATGCGAAAGCTTTTCTAGAAAATATCATGATATGTGAAAGCTTTTCTAGAAAATATCATTCTAAATATCTTAATTAGGAAAAATTTCAATATTTTAAAAAAAAATGTGCACCATTTTCTATGTATCCAAAAAAAAACACAAAAAAACAAAAAAACTGTATATATTTTTACTGCCGCTACTGATGGAAAAGATGACAAATGAAACAATGTCAAAATTATTCATTGGTAATTCAAAATGTATTGTCCCCCCCCCATCCCCCCCCATCGGTTCTTACTTGAGAATATCCCTCCCTTGCCAACCAGTAGTGAAGCTTGTTCAGTGCACGTTTGCCTGCTGTGATGCCAAAGTTGTGGTTGATGAACGGTCTATCTGGCATGTTTTCTTTGGACCAGGATGTATATAGACGAGTTTCCGTCACAACATTTATCTGGAAAGAGGGGGTTGGGGGAGGGGCTGCATTCTTAACAATGAAAAAGTAAGTATAATCCTAAAATGTTTAACTAATTTAAAATGAAATTTCAACATGTTAACAATAATATTACATGACCTTATCCTCTTGCAAAAGCTATAAAGCAATTATATTATAATGACATCTTTGGATTGATAATATTAGGTTATGATACTCAACTATCAATAATGATAGCAAAAAATTAATTTTTGTAAAAAAAAAATTTTTAATCGATTTTTCCTTTAAGATAAAAAAAAACCACAGTGATCACTCAAAAAATAATTGTGGCTGCACTAAGTTATTGCATTTTAAACACAAAATAGACATAACATAATATACAAATAGTGAAAATAGCAAACAAATCAAAGGATGAGAAGAAATTATTAAACTATTGCTTATGTTAACTCACATGAATAGGAACCATCTGGTCATATCCCCTGTTGCTGCCAATAGCACAGTTGGCAGAGGCCACCATCGCCCCTGTTGGCCAGAGGTCCCAGGCCGAACGTTTGGTGATGGGGCATTCGTTGTCGTGAGTCTGGTCATAGAACAGAGCATGGGCCACGCAGGGCACTAGTGGCCTGATCCGTGGCTGGATGAAAGCCCCCACCGGGTCCCCACCAAATCTGTGGACCAGTCTCCCTTGATCATGTGCGTCGATGGCAACAAGGGCTTCTGTGAATGTAAGACATTTATGAAGAACTGAGATTTTATTGTGGCATAGAGAAAAATTCTTAGTAAAGGCAAACTATTAATTGAGCATCTTAAATATAATACATAGAATTTTTTATTTTTTAAATTCTTTTAAGAATCAGGAATTTTTATTTTTAAATTTCAAGACAACTTAAGGTTATTAATATCAGGTGTGCTAAAATATAATTTCTGGATTCAATGCTGTCCGGCGGGCATTCAAGAATACCAAAAATGAGTGAAGAAAACTTGATTAGGTCATTGGAATCTTTTCTAAAACACACATCTTTAATGGTTTGTGACCTCAACCATTTTTTGGGAAAGAGGGCTTTTTAAAGGAAAAAAATAATTCTTAAAATTCTTCTTATTGACTTGACAATGAAATAAAAATTATTGCTGACTTACATGATGTTATTCAAATTTCTATTTCAGTTTGGTTGTTTCAGTTACTAAAAAGTATTCTTTTTCAGTCAAATGAACAGTTTAATTAAAAGAGTTTAATTTACAGTCCCATTTAACATGGAGAGAAAATAGTATGACATTTTTAAATAGGTCTCAGCAAACAGCATCTGTCCCTTTGAACAGTGATGAATTTTGGAAATTGTTAAAATATATACAGTACAAATAATAATCTAAAAAAAAACCTCTTATAAGGGAATTAATTCCCAGTCTGTTCATGAACAAGTTGTCCAGCTGCTCACTGCCGGTGAACAGCTCTGCAATGACATAAAGGTCTGGACGAACTCTGCGGGCGACATCAAGCATATGCTGCAAAGGGGACAGAGATGTGAGCAGACATTCTAAGAAATACAGGCATTTTTAGTTTTAACAGTTCACCTGCCTCTGAGTTGTGACCGGCTTAAATAAATTCCAGTATTATCCTACGGGAAAAGTAGGAAAAAGCACATCTCTGAATGGGGACAGACACAACGTAAGTATTTGTTATGGTGTACTAGTGGACTGGCCCGTACCGATAGCCAGCCAAGGAAAGAGCGCGCATGCGCAGAGACACTGGACAGAGAGAGTGTGTGTTTATGAACCGTGTTCCGGACGCAAGCAAAAAGTCAACACCTGATTGAGAACTTGTATTTATGTATATATATGTTTATGTTACTTGTTTGAAATAAAAACAATGAAAACATAACAGTATTCCTAATATTCTTGGAGTTAAGCATTAGTCTTCAGGTACAATACACAGGTTTCCCTGAGCCTAAATGCTAGCCCCATTCACTTACCACAATGATTAATATATATCATGGTTAGATGTGAAATAAGATTCTATCAGAGTGCTTCTCACTTAAAATACATATCTTTAGTGGTTACAAAAAAACTAAAACTGAATTCCATTGACATTGAAAAAAAAACTTTGAAAATTGCCACTCTCACATTATCATCAGGTAATAATAAAATAAATTCTAATTAGACAGACCTATTGATTTCCAAACCTTATGTTAGCGGGCAATGTTATTTTCTTTAAAAATTTGTGGCTCTCCCTTATTTAAATTTTGTCATTGTTCATTAAAAAGGGTATTTATTATAATTTAACTTTGCTCACCCCCATCTCCCACCCCTATTCCTTTGAACTAGCAGGCACCCCCCCCTCCCCCACTCCACAGCATTGAGATAACACAAACAAAGCAGACAGAAACCCCCCTCCTCCCACCCCCGACCCAGTGCTATTTACCTCAGCCACATGTATGGGAGTGCTGTGACAATTGTCCAGCCTAAGGCCTTTAAATATTTTGGCTGATATTTTAGTGTATTCCTCCATCCGTTGCCACAGGTAGGGACAGTCACTTGGAGATTTGCCGAAGTTGAGTTTGACACTGTCACCCCATCCAACCAACTCTCTCCTCAGGTAGACCTGTCTACCTTTACACACGGGGACAATAACATGTATCATATTACTACAATAATCTGTGGGGGAAATGGAAATTTTAGCAATGCTGGACTTTGCTTTCACTGCCATTATTTATGCAGGGATCTCAAAATAATTGAAAAAAATGTTTTTAAGGTAACATCGTTAAAATTATTTGATTAAACAAAGATGGGGGGCATCACTTCAGTTTTAAACAGAGTGGGAAATAATTCCACACTTTTCATCTCTATGCAGAAAGTTGGTGTTTCAGATACTTGGGTATTTTACATTTTATCTTGTTTACCAAAGCTCCAGTAAACTATAGATTTTAAACACACTTATTTATCATTTACAGATCAACATGCCCAATTCTCATTACTAAAGCACAGCAAGTGCCTAACATTCCAGCACCATGTCTGAGGAATGGCACCCCCACCAACCTGGCTCGGCAAAGTTCTTCAAGGGATCATCCCCCATCACCCAACCATTGCACGCCATGATGTGAGAGGGTTCCTCATAGGACATCTTCTCTTCTTTCTCCACACTCCCCTCATGTGCTTTGGGTATAATGAAGTAGCTGAAACAGTGGGATTGGATGACAATGATTTGTTGGTGTCGTGGCACTTAAATGGATTTTTTATGTGCATAAAGATTTTCATTGGTTCAGTATAGAGAAAAATTAAACATAAAAAATTGATTGCACTCGGCATATCTAGACTATAAATATGCAGAAAAATTTCTGATACCATAAGAAAGCTGAGAGTTTCATTGGTTCCTAGGTGTGCACTTTCCCATTAAGGAAATTAGAGTTTCACTGGGTCCTAGGTGTGCGCTTTCCCTTTAAGGAAATTAGAGTTTCACTGGGTCATAGGTGTGCGCTTTCCCTTTAAGGAAATTAGAGTTTCACTGGGTCCTAGGTGTGCGCTTTCCCTTTAAGGAAATTAGAGTTTCATTGGGTCCTAGGTGTGCGCTTTCCCTTTAAGGAAATTAGAGTTTCACTGGGTCATAGGTGTGCGCTTTCCCTTTAAGGAAATTAGAGTTTCATTGGGTCCTAGGTGTGCGCTTTCCCTTTAAGGAAATTAGAGTTTCACTGGGTCCTAGGTGTGCGCTTTCCCTTTAAGGAAATTAGAGTTTCAATGGGTCCTAAGTGTGCGCTGTCCCATGAAAAAAATTAGAGTTTCACTGGGTCCTAGGTGTGCACTTTCCCATTAAGGAAATTACAGTTTCACTGGGTCCTAGGTGTGCACTTTCCCATTAAGGAAATTAGAGTTTCACTGGGTCATAGGTGTGCACTTTCCCGTTAAGAAAATTAGAATTTCACTGGGTCCAAGGTGTGTACTTTCCCATTAAGGAAATTAATTCAAAAATCAACATTTCCAGGCTGGTAGATCATCACACTGAAACTATAGGCATACCCGCTCATTAGTGGTTCTGACTCTGTAACTTGTGGTATCCTGGGCCCAGCTGGGTTCACAAAGCGCCACCTGGCATTTGCTATGAAATTTCCTATGGCACAGTTGATGTGGTCTTGGGTCTCCCTGTCCTTCTGTCCGTTCAGAGCAACCAGCTCCTCTGTCAGAGCCTCGCAGCATTTGTTGATTCGGTCTGTTCGTGAAAACACCCCAGGCCTGGAAGTAGAGGACAGTCACCCATTAGTACAAACAGGAAAAATAATATTAAAACAACAAAAATTAACAATGATTAAACTCATCCATTGATTTTTTTTTTTTTGTTAATAAGAAATTTTCCTGCACTAAAATGGTCAATCACATTTAAATAAAACCATTGTAATCATGTATTTATATATAAGAAAAAAAAAAGATTTTTAGGTATTATTTTAAAATTTTCTTTTTATTTCATATTATTAACTTTTTTTAATCCAACCCACATAAATGAATGTCACAAACAGCGATCTCCACAACAAACAAAACCAATTTTGTATTGGCATTGTGCCAGAGAAAGATAATGCATACAATTGAGCCAGCAAGCCTAAGGCTACTTTTCTTCACTCGTTTTAGGTGCAGCTTGAAAAAAGTGTGCTGGTGCCTTGGTTTTCACCTCCATGCCCATTTAAATATGATCTAACAGGACATTTTCTAAATAGAAAGAACTGCTAGTAACGCTGGTCTAGGCATATGAGTGAGTTTAAATGTCATCTATGCCATCTGAAATAAATTAAAACTGACTAAATTAAAATCCTTATCGTCTGCTAGCAGGCAATGTGTATCAGGAAAAAGCCACACGTATTTTGTCCTGCTAATGCCAATCTGCAAAACCATGCTATCAATATGTCTTGGTGGGGACAATGATGATCTTGATGGGGAAATCATGACCTCGATGGTGACAATGATAATCTTGATGGGGACTATGATGATCTTGATGGGGACTATGATGATCTTGGTGGTGAATATGATGATCTTGATAGGGACTATAATAATCTTGATGGAGACAGTGATGATATTGATGGGAACTATGATGATCTTGATGGTAAATATAATGATCTTGATGGGGACTTTGATAATCCTGATGGGGACAGTGATGATCTTAATGGGAACTATGATGATATTGATTTTGAATATGATGATCTTGATGTGGAAAATGATGATCTTGATGGGGCAGTGATAAGCATTAATGCCTGATCATGAAAATGAGCATAAATGATCTTCTGAGCTTTGTTTTTGTGCCCATTCTGATTCTTTTCTTTCATTTTTTGGTATAGGTAGGATATGATGTGATATAATATTATATATATATATATATATATATATATGTATATATATATGTATATATTTATTTATATTTATATATGAATACGTTATTTAACTTTAACTTATACTTGTATGAACGTTTCTTGTTGTACTGAAGTAGGCATTTGCCGCAAAATTCAAATTTGCATTTTGTGTCATCATATTATAAGTAAAAATGTATTATTTTATTCACACAAATTGGTCGTATCTCATTAATCTACTTGAAAGTTTTATCCCAGTCCAACACTTTTATAATTAGTTAGTTAAAAATGTCATACAACATTTCAATCGTCAATAAGTTCTCAGGAAATCAGTTATTATGGATGGGAGGCCTATTGATGCTACTGGTATCATTTTGAAGAGGTCCCGTTAAAAATCAATGTTTCTCTAAAGCTGTCTCTTCATATCACAGATAACCCACCAGGGCTCAATTAATGTCTGAGAAACAACAGAGTCCTGTTTTATTGTCTAACAAACCAATTTAATCAAGTTGTTTAAATTATTTATTTTTTTTAAAGTAAATTTTTTTTGGTGATGAGGAAAAGGAGGGGAGACAAGGGTTACGAATTAATTATTAAAATTATTGTATATTTTAAATGTTTACAGGTGTTTTAACATAAATATGCCTTAAAACATTCAACAAAAAATGTTTAAAACTAAAATCACCCAAATGACCGCATCCCCTATAAATAGGCCATTATTAGAAGGCTGTGGCAATTCGGACCCGGGTCCGAGAAGTTAGAGTTTGGGTTTATTAAAAAATATTTTAAAATTATTGTAGGGTTTGTAAGACAAAATTTGGTATCAAATGAAAGATAATTGAATGGACTATATGTTTGTAAACTTCTTAAGTTTAACTAAAATATACTACCACAAATGACATCCGAATAGCATTTTGTCAAAATGGAACCCGAAATGCATCGCCGCTATTCGGACCCGGGTCCTTTTAGATTCAATGCTATTCGGATGTCATTTGTAGTGGTTTATTTTAGTTAAACTGAATAATTAAGTCTACAAACATATAGCCCATTCAATTATATTTCATTTGATACCAAATTTTGTCTTACAACCGTACAATAATATATTTTTAAAAATTTTTAATCCCAACCTCTAACTTCTCGGACCCGGGTCCAAATAGCCACTTCGTTATTAGAATGTGTGACACTGGTCACTTTGTTGGTTTAGTGCCATCAGTTTGAGACCACCAATCTCCACATTGTCTGGGATCATGATGTTGGTTAGACATTTAGAAAGTGCATTAAAATTAGGAAGCTACTGCCACATAAAATAAATATCTTACTGAAGCCATTAAAATTCAGGCGTTTTCTAAGTAAAGGAAATAAATTAAAAAGACTGCAGGGAGGGAAAAAAAAAATATTTAAAAAAAAATTGAAAATTAATGTCAAGTTGAACAGCAACCAAACTAAACTTTCTATAACTTGTAAATTTTATTTACACAATAACCAGTACAGAAAGGTATATAACATCTTTTTTTTTTTTTACAAGAGTTAATCTTTTTGTTTCATAGTAAAAAAATAATATAATAAAAATAATATAATAGGCTTTTAAAAAAGCAACAGTAAGGAAGAATTGTGCATTTGGATAACATTTTTAAAAAAAAAAAAAATTAAAAAAAAAAATTGAAAATTAATGACAAGTTGAAAAGAAAACAAACTAAAATTTATATAAATTGTAAAATTTATTTAAAAAATAACAAGTACAAAAAAGTATATAAAATATTTTTTTTTTTTTTACAAGAGTTAATCTTTTTGTTTCATAGTAAAAAAATAATATAATAAAAATAATATAATAGGCTTTTAAACAAGCAACAGTAAGGAAGTATTGTGCATTTGGATAACATTTTTAAATGGCGACATTGGGTGTGGTTATAAAAACAAGTGACCGTTTCGGTGAAGACAGAGTTGTTTTTCTGATCTCCATTCTCTGATCACTCACACTACTGCACCATAAAAATCAAACACTTACAGCAAAGATTTAACCAATGTCAGACATTATTAATATTAACCCTTTACCGATAGTTACTCAGCAGAGTAAAGCTTCTTAGATCTGCCTGAAATCATCAAATTAATTACTAAATAAGAGCATTCTTTTTTGCCATGTACAAATGAAACATCTCCAAGTAATTAGTGAGACTGCCATAATTAATAATAATTTCAGACACAAAATTCTCCCTATCTTTTCCGTCCAGTCAAAGTCAAATTTATCCACATCTTTTCCCTCAAGTCCCAATTCTCCTATTTTTTACGCTAATTATCCTCAGATGGATCAATATCTAGGAATGCATTTTAATATTCAAAGCTAAGCCACTGGTTTGCTCTTATTGTAAAAAGATATATTGAAATTCTTCTATGAAATTTTTTAAATATTCATAATAATATTAATACAATTATTTTTTATCAGTACTCTTAGTTTCTAGATAAAAATAAATAAAGTTTGATTATTTGATGAGTCAACCCTATTTTAAATTCCCATTAGATATTTACAACGTCCCTATTATCCCTAGACCTCTGAAAACTAGAAAATAACATGCCCCCTGATATCCTATCTATACAAAAAAGATTATTGTGCAGATCTTTGACACATATTTAAAACTACTGAAATGCATTTGGATGCCAGTATCATATGGAATAAGAGCTTTGCTCTGAATTTATTTATTTTTTTGTGGCCATTGGGTTAACTTTAAATATATCATATTAAATTATGCCTCAAACTATTCTACTTAATTAACTAGGTGTGTTCTACTTATGCCTCACACTATTCTACTTAAATAACTAGGTGTGTTCTAACTAATGACAAACATTTCTACACTAGTATCAATGATGCAACCTCGTCTGCTGGAAAGTATTTCTTAACTATTTTTTTTAAAAAGTGAGGCAGTGATGAATTCAGTGGTAAGCATGTAGAGACATGCCCCTGTTCTTTTCAAGATAATGCACACATACTTTCGACTAATAAAGATATGTCCTATAGTGCAATAAAAGTTTTTTTGTTGTTTTTTTCTGGATTCACCACCCAGGATAATAATCAGTGTTAGATGTGACAGAGGGTACATAACTGTAATTGAAAAAGGGCACATAACTCTGATTATTTAGACAGAGGGTGTATAACCCTTCAGAGTAATGTTAAGAGATTCAAGGACAAAATAAAATGTAAAGAACTACTTTCTCTGTCAGTAAAGGGTTAAAATGGTTGCAGGATTTAAGTAAGGTGATAAAGAAGCTTAAAGGTGCTTGAATGCAAACCAGATTTTTTAAATTCAAAATAGAGGAAACAAAAAAGCAACTACAATAATGAATAAGAATTCAAACATTCTACATTATAATGAGTACATTTTACCCTTGTTCCACTTTAGAGCTGAAATAATTTTCATTGAAGTGAAAATTTGAATTAATTATCTTTGTAAGTCAAAAATTAATTTTAATTCATTAACTACCATAAATGAAACAAAAATACTGTGGTCTAGAAATTTTGGTTGCTATTTTTGTTGTGTGTGTAAATATATTTTAAATTTATTTGCAACATTTTTTAATGAATTATTTTTTTTTTAAGGTAAAATAGTGGACTATTCCTTTCATCTTCAAAAAAAAAAAAATTTACGTACTAATATATCTGAATTAATAGCACTAAATGTAAGTTATTTTTATAATTTAAATTTATTTTACTATTCAAATAATTATTCATGGTGTTTAAGTGTTAATTTTCAATCCAGTTTACAGGCATCATTCATTTCAATACAACCTCTTCCTAACTTTTAATCACCACAAATCAAACCCTACTAAACCAACCTCATCTTAAAGAGCTAAAAAATTATATTAAATTGCCCACTGCTGTTGAAGCAACATTTTTATTTTACAAGTTATATATGGAAGAAAAATGCCAAATTTGGTGCCCTTAATTGGCCAAAATCAAATACAGTCACTTAAAACAAGATTTAGGCTCAATTTTAAAGAAATTTCTTTTTAGATCACAGAAGAATTGAGTTCACACTTTTACTATAAAACGCTGATGTTAACACCTTTTTGTTTGTTTTTTTAAAACTTTGCATTAAATACGTTTTTAGCACAGAAACATAGGAAATAAATTTTCCTGCTAAGATATGCCATTTTTAAAGTCTGTCTATAAAGTTTTTTTTGTCTTAATCAAGACCAGAACCTAGGTAGGACTAGTAACTGTGAAAATTACTTTCACCAAGATGTATATGTAACTCCTTCCTCTTGCCGAGTGTAAATATTTTATTCAGAGGTTATTAACAACATTCATCCAGAAGTGAATTAAACTGGTGAGGTGTTTGTTGCAAATGTGCTCTTACCAAAAAAAATAATACAAAAAGATTGCCAAAATGCACCATTACCACTAAATTAACGAACAAGCCACAGCGATTATGTAGGAGTATAAACAGTTATCTCCCAGCAATCATTATTGCCTCCTCCCCCCCCCCCCCCCCCCCCCCTTTTTTTTTTTTTTTTTTTTTTTTTTTTTTATTTTAGTATCTGGGCCCTTACCAATTTAACAGAACCTAAAATTTGTATGCAGATTTGAGGAATAAATATAAATAAGCAGGCCATTTGAACACAAAAATAAAACATGAAATTGCAGACTATTACCTTCATAAATAATTCAGTTAAGATTATTTACAGGAATACTAGAACAATTTTACATGAAAGTTATCCTACTTAATATTACAGTTGAGTTACTTGTCTCTAAGTCAACAAACCAATTTTAAAACATAAACACTTCATTAAACATCTCTAAGATGAGAAAAAAATACTCTCCTAAATTATTTTTTGATATGGATTAGATATTCTATTTGAGTAATGGTTGTTAAATATCTATCCATAAAATAATAATCCGCTGGATGTAAAAACATTAAGAACTTCTTACTACGACAACACAGGTAAGAAAAATATTTTTAAAAATTAAAAAAAAAGAACAACACAACAGCTCTTGCCTGCATAACTTTGTACACGTCAGATATGCCTAAATAAGCAAATCCTAAAAAAAAAACACCAGAAATCCCTCTTACCTGTCTGTGTTGTATAGTTTCAGAGCTAATGTCATGTTGATTGTAGATTTGAATCGTCTAAATTTGGGGTCTTGCACAATGGATAAGTGAGTCTCTCTACCAGGGTCTCCTAAGTTGGGGGTACCTGTAAAAAAAAAAAACAACACCTCTTTATTACAAAGAAATTTATGATTTCTGAAATCTCCCTCATTAATATTGGTTTGTGCAAGTGAAAAACATTGGGGTCTTCTCCAGATCATTTAGTTTTACAAGGCTAAAGGGAAATAACATTGAAAAATAACTTAAAATAAAAATGGATTTTCTCCATTTTTTTTAGTGTTAGAAACAAGGCTTTGCTGTATGATGTTGATTACTAATTTACATAATCAAATATAATAATGTTAGTAAAAAAAATTAATCAGAAGCAATATTAAAATAGCATCTTATTGTCTTTCATATCATGTACAGAGTTTCCAGCTGAAATGACAGTTAATTTATCACATAAGATAAGATATGCTTCTTTTATTGATTCAAACAAATGGAAATGTTTTATGATTGCACTATATATTTTCAGCAAATAAATTAAACTATTTAAACACAAAAAATTTATAATAAATTAGGTCACTAGCAACAACAACAAAAAAAAAAAAAACATTCAGTGGGAGCACGCTGGTAAATTCGTACAGATTAGGGAACAAAAGAATTTTTATATCTTTCAGTCCTTGCCCTGACAGACAGAATTTGTCCCGTACAGGCCGATCCTAAGCTTCTGTGATGAAGAGGGTGGGATGTATCATCCAAAATGTGTTTGATGTTGGCTGCCCCTGTTGATCTTCATAACATGGGTCTTGTTACTCAATTTAAAAGACTTTGAAATCACTTGTGCTGAATCAGCTAGCCTGCTTCGGGTGTTGAAATCAAGTTTTATATAATGCTGCCATCCGTCCGTCACAATGGTGTGGGCTTCGCAAGATGAAATCCACAAGGCCTGGGATTATTCTTCAAGGATTATAAGCTGGTTCCCAACAGCAAATTGCCTCTCTCCACGTCGCTGGAAAACCCAAGGGAAAATCATGTGGATGATACAGCTTGGCACCAGTGGCGTCGCAGGAGTTTTACAATGTTTCATTGTACCAATGTTATCCGCCTTCCGGACTCCATCTCCGGGTTTGATTTCAGAGTTTCCTTCTCTTACAAGGAGTACCATCCAAGGTTAAAGGGTCCCATTTACCCAGGGTTGCTGGTGATGTTTATGCTTGACTGGAATTGAACTCCAGACCACCAACTTGAGATTTGCTCAGTTTATACCACTCGGCCACCCAGTTTCATATCCTATAAGTTTAATTTGATGTATTTGTTGCCTTATTTTCAAAAGCTTCACAGGAAGTTTTGGTTGTTGTTTTTTTTTTCAAGCCCTACCTTCAATGGCCTTTCTAAAATCTTTGACAATTTGATCTACACCAATACAGAAGAACTCATGCAGCCTGTGGGAAGGGAACACTTTGTGGTGGAGCACATAGCCGATAGCCTGCAAGTGCAAAAAAAACAATAGATTATAAACATATATAAGCTAAAACGATGGAGTTCTATTTGTCATTACTCGAATCTAGTTATTCCATGCTGTGTGAAGGTGTAAAATTAAGATAGTAAAATACCAACCCAACTCCAAAAAGAAATTATCCCCAGTATCCTTTGTACAAAAATGAGGGCTCCTAGTCATATTGGGTATATTTTATTGGTTATTTACTTCCTTTAGAGTAACTTGATATCCTTTTAAAACACAATCAAGTGCTGAAGATCACATAAATTCTTTGGTGCTGGGTCCCACCCAGCTCCATAAGACAAAACATAAACACACTTACATTGAGGTGGTCCTCGCTGTTCACAGATTTAGGTATGCCATCTTTCTCCCACAGCCCTTTGCTAACCTCGAGACTGAAATGTTCAAATATCCTATCCATGATGTATGCCGGTCGGAGGTGAGGGGAATTTTCCAGGTTGAAGGCGCATTCTGGATGCTGCCACACCCAGGGGCTGTCTTTGGCTGTGTGGTTGTAAACCAGGTCAGACAGACTCATAACCTAATGTTTAGAAAATGTTTTATATAAAATTTAATAAGGGAAAGAAAGAGAGACAATAATTTTAAAATATGACTGAAGCACTTGATAGCAAAGAAGTTATCCCAAAGTATCATTGCAAAACGTATACATTTTTGGTGAAACTGATCCATTTCATTCTACCTACACAGTTTAGCTTAATTGCAAGAAGTGACATAGCTATCTATGAGTGATGCCACCTAGGGTGGGTACAGCATTTTGCCACCCCCTTCCATGAAAATAACTTTACACTTGGCTTAATATGCCGCCCTTCAATATAAACAAAAAAAGTGCTGCCTGATTAGACCCCCCCCCCCTTTTTCCTTCTTACATCACTGACTACAAGTGATTTTGAAAAAGAAAGTTATGAAAATCAACAGGGGCAGGCAAAACTAAAAAATAACATACGAGCCACCTGTCTCTCTCAGGAACAAATTTTTGTAATATTTTTTATTTTTTTTAAATTGGCCAAGAAAAAATTGAATTAAACAAAGAAATGCCATGGTGAGTAGCCCCTTTCTATTTGTATGCCCCTGAAATACAACATCATTTGTGGCTTTTTAAACAGACTTTGTGATAAACAACCCAAGAAGTCAAATCATATCTGATGACAGCAAGAGCTACTCACTGAGAATGCAAACATTTAATACCGGTAATTGACTGTTTTCAGTAGTTGAAATATTGACCACAATAACTTTTTGATTTTTTAGGTCTTTATACACAAACCTGAGGTCAATAACATAAAACCAATAAATTATTCACATCCCCCCTCCCCTACATATTTATTGCATGATCCTGATTCATTGCTCACATCGCCACCTCCACCCCCTCCCCGGGCATTCATTGATTACATACCCCACATTCATTGTTCACACACCCTCCCCCCCGCATTCATTGATTACTTACCCCCCATTCATTTTTCACCCCCCTCCCACCAATCATTGATTACATTGATTATTTATTGTTCATGAATGCCACCAGTTTCTCCAGGTCCGTGTAGTCATACTGCTTGCCCTCCACCATTCATTGATAACATAACCCCCCCCCTTTCATTGTTCATGAACGCCACCAGTTTCTACAGGTCCATGTAGTCATACTGCTTGCCCTCCACCACCCACATTCATTGTTCATGAATGCCACCAGTTTCTCCAGGTCCGTGTAGTCATACTACTTGCCCTCAACCATTCATTGATAACATACCCCCACTCATTGATTACATACCCCCCCCAATTCATTGTTCATGAATGCCACCAGTTTCTACAGATCCATGTAGTCATACTGCTTGCCCTGCACCATTCATTGATTACATACCCCCCAATCGTTGTTCATGAACGCCACCAGTTTCTCCAGATCTGTGTAGTCGTACTGCTTGCCTCCATCACTGTAGACTGGGCTGAACTTGAGCTGATCTCTTATGGAGTAGGCAGAGTTGGAGATGCCCAGCTCTTGGACGGGTGTGAAGTGGACCATGTTGTAACCACTCTCATAAGCCACCTAATCACAAATAACAAATCTCTTTGTATGCATGTATGGCTGTAATGCTGTGTTTAGTAAGCGCAGAAAATAAAATTCCCAGAAGTTAGCCCTAATTAAGATTCTTATAAGGTGCGTTACTTAAATGCATGTTTTGTCTTGTAATTTTAATAGATTGGGAAGTTCACGCATCGCCACCACCATTGTTTGGCTATTTATTTCTTGTGGTAAAATAAATATTTACTTGAAAGTTCAACACAAGCACAAAATAGTTGATCCATTTAAAAAATAACCAAAGTGACGAATGTAATTATTCAAAACCCAAATCATCTTTTGAAAGCTGTATAACTTATTTAAAGGGTATTTATTTTTAAAATACTAACATAAAATTTCTTAAAAGATTTGCAGTTTAGAGGAAATCATTGCAAATAAAAATTAAATGTGTTTAATTTTTGTAATTGTAGGCTGCACCCTATTTCCACCAATATAAATACTTTACAACACCTCAATTAAGCTAACGTAGTTGTATTTACTTATTTTAATTTTTTTACTAGGAAAATATAATCATAATTAAAAGCTAAACTAGATTTTAATGGTTATTTTGCTTGTTTTAATTAACAAATGTGTTTCTACCTTATCTGTAACCTAAAAAAAAATTGCTTATCAAATTCGTGCTACTTACTTTAAAAAAAAAAAAAATTAACAATCAATAGCTTACCTGTAATCTAGGTACCCAATCCTTGAAGGGGCCCAGCAGTTTGGTAATAACACTCTGGCAGATGATAGCATCCATAGTTATTTCCTCTTGATTCTTTCCATGTTTCAAAGTGGGGTCAACCAGGAAATATCCAGAGCCATTTGCCTTTTCAACAGTGGTTCTGGTGTATTAACAAAAGATATGAAAAACTATGTGAAACTTTCAAGTGAGGTGAGTGTAATGGAAGGAAAAAACTGGGTAAAAAATGGATTAAAAACTCTTTTTTTTTTGCCACATTGATTTTTTTTACATACAGACATTTTAAATCAGAATTAACACATGTAAAACGATCTTTGGCAATTTTAAATACTTGAAATCTTTAAGGTACCTTTGTCGTATCAAAACATTACAAATACAAATCAACACGACAGGCATAAAAGAAGACAGCTTTTTAGTTACTGATCATTGAGCACTCACGAATTGTCTAGTGTGAAAAAAAAGTTAAATGAGCCAGCAATAAGCATCTTCACTTCTGCCGTCAAGTCGGTTCTGTCACTTTTGATGCCTGTCACAGTTTTCCATGGCACTTCACGGTACTTTGTGCGCAGGAAAGGGGTGTTTACATTGTCTGGGTGATTGCAGAACAGTCTGACATTGGAGGACATGAGACTTGGTCCCAGAACAAATCGCAAGATCCATCCTGAGAGAATAATCACATACAGAAATGTACAAACAGGTTTGAATTTAGGCCTAGATTAACAAGGAAAAACACTTTTTTTTAAAAATGGTGAAGATCATTAAAAAAAGAATCTGTTTGTTAAAACCCTGACACCTAAGACAACTCAGACGGAAGCAACTGTGTAGACAGAACTGGCGCTCCTTGGCTCTAGCCTCAAGCATTATATTTGATAATGGGGTGGTCTGATGAAACCAACGAATGAACCTTTACTTTAAAATGTATTGACACCCCAGTAATTTTACATAATTAAATGTATATGGGTCATACAGGCTTTATGTTTAAAAGTCATTTAATTGAAAAGAGGTGCAAATATGGTTAACAATGTCAGCTGTTGTCTCTCTTCTGGCTTATGCCAGAAAAAAAAGGTTGGGGAATTGGGGTATGGGATGAAAAAAAAAAGGAGGGGGGGGGGGGGGGAAAAAATGAAAAAATTTTGAGGGGGTGTTTTAAAGAAATTGAAAACGCTTAAAAAAAAAAAAAAAAAAATTTGGTGGGAGGTGGAGCAAAAAAAAGTGGTGGGGGAGTGGGTGGCAGAGGGCAGTGCTCTGGATTAAAACATCTGAAATATTGCTCAGAACAAGTAAACATTAGCAGAATATTATGTTTGGTTAGATAAGTCTGCTAAATTGGTCATCTAAACCACATGATAAAATAACCTCAAATATGTTGAGCAGAAGAATAAAATCCAATTAGCGCAAGTAAAAAAAAAAATTTAATGAAGAAAAAGTACAAAAGCAAAAATTCCTACCCAGGTCAATACAATCTTCACAGGTGTTTTTTAATCATTGGGGCTTGGCAATGCCACAACTATCAGTGCATCATTTACAAATATTAATTAAGTAGGGCCTAAAGTTAAATAGCTTAGCTTCTATCCTTGCTCTCCCCCTCCCGCTTTACTTGCCCGCTGTCCTTCTTAATGAGTATAGTAACTGGAAACTTCTCTAACAAAATTAATATTTATAATAATCTATTGGAGAAAAATCTGCATGCAAAATGCTGGGGCCACTAAAACATAATGATATGTTAAAGATAAAATTATTATTGTAGGGCAGGGTCGGAGAACCGGATTAAATTACCCCAAATGGTGTCAAAATAGAAACCTTGAGGAAATGAATCCTCAAAAAAACATAAATAAAATTGTTTAAAGTACATTCTTTTTTATAAAATATTTTTTCTGGCAACACTGCATCTGGTCAATGGGGGGTGGGGGGGGGGGGGGGTGTAAAATCAGAATAACAAAATATATTTTCGGGTAATGGTTAAAAGAGTTTGATAAAATATTTTTTCTGGCAACACTGCATCTGGTCAATGGGGGGTGGGGGGGGGGGGTGGTGTAACATCAGAATAACAAAATATATTTTCGGGTAATGGTTAAAAGAGTTTGCTGACACCTGTTGCTGGGCAACAATGCTTGCAATGAAAAATAATGAAATAAAATATCAGACAGTTAAAAAAATAAATTTTTTAATGTTTTTTTTTTAAAGATGATGATTTTAAAAAAGTAATGTACACTTCTTTTTAATATTTTTTACTGGGAAACCTGTAACTTATCTGCATCTGTTTCCTAAAAGAGAAAATTTTCATTTCCATGCCAAGCTGACTGCAGCTGTTTTTTTTTTTCAAGGTTAACATCCTCCCTAAAAATAGTTAACATATTGGGCTATAAAAGTTAATTCCAACCATATTCCCCATAGCTGATGATGAAACCGGGGCATGCTATCGGGTATGCTACTGCTTGGTTCAGTGACAGAATATAGATTCCAATCCGCTACAGGGCAAACAATTATTTTTACCCCTGTCAAAAAAAGATTTTAATCAAGCCTCCGGAATACATTTCTTCATCTCTTTTTTCTCCCTCTTAACCAGTGGCATGCCATATGGTACTGAACTAGCCCTATATGACTACAAGAACAGAAAATAAATGATTCATTCTCATGCAAACACAAATATACAATTGCTGTACTAGTTCACAAAACAAATTTATTCTCACATGAAAAATCAATAAAAGAGCTTGTATCTATTTTATTATGTTTTTATCCTATATGTAATCCCTTATAAAAAAAAACAAAAAAAACGTAGCACTGCCTGCAGAGTAGTCTTTTTACTGCATACTATACAAAGCCACCTTATTCAGTAATAGCTATGACAAGTAGGTCAGCACACATAAGGTTACAGTTGTGTTACTAACCAGATTCACATTGTGGGAGCAGGGCCTTGACCCTAAAGGCCATGAAACAGGTGTGGGTGGGGGGGGGGGGCATTAAATCTGGTCTACCTTACCCTAGATTAGTTTAAGGGGGGGGCATTAAATCTGGTCTACCTTACCCTAGATTAGTTTAAGATAAGTCTCCTATTTTAACAAGAGGCAACAAACAAAAATGCCAAGTAAGCTTGAATGTACACAGGGGTTTGAGCAAACCAAGTGACATCTCCAAATATTTTTCTTTTTAAAACTCTCATTTGTTTTTTGTTTTTAAAGGTAAAAATACCCACATAATTCTGATTATAAATTTTAAGTGGTAATTTAAAAATGTTTATTCTTGCAGTGTCTTTGGGGTAACAAAGGGAAGAAACTTTCTAATAAAAAACAAAATGAACTGCTCTTCCCTGTCCCTGTTCTTGAAACAAAATAAAGCATGGCATGGATTTGTAGCCACATTTGGCCTGTTGAGGGAAAATTGGTGGTTTCATATCTTGGTTACTAGGTCAAAGTGACTAACAATTATCCTTGGGGTTGTTAATAACTGACTTAACAACATCTCAGTTTTAATCAAAGAAATGTGCACAACTTTACATGATGTGTCTTTATGTAGGTTATCGTTTCCCAATGGCACTTTTGATTACAAGACTTCCTAAAACATTCAATTAACTCCAGAATAAATGTTATTGACTGCTTCAGAGTAATGTTTACTGGAAAGGACGTTTGTTTAAATTTAACTGAATACATGCTTGTTTATATATTATTACACAACTGTTCTCTGAAGCTAGTCAGAAAACATTTTTTAATGGCAAGAAAGTTGAAAATTAACCCTTCTTTATCATGTTCTGTTGGGAGCAAAACCATGAGTAAAATCCATGACCTTTACTCTTTATACTTCAATGAGGATATTCAGGTTATATTTGGTTTTAGCGCTGCAGAAGGCCAACACAGTCATTATTTGAAGTACAGGTTCCCAGCCTTTTTTTTTTTGAGTTGCAACCCCATTTTATAGAAACAAAGTGACACGCAACTGCATATTATAGACGCAAAGTGACCCGTGACACCAACATACTTTTTAAAAAAAGTAATACTGTAAAAGAAAACAAACTGGGAATAGAAGTTTTAAATGGAATTAAAAGAAATAAGTCAAAGTTTCGAAAGCCATGGATTAAAAATGAAAACCTAAAAGTCATTTTTTTTTTTCTATTAATTTATAACCTTTCAGCAGGCAACCCCAGTGAAAACTCTCTGCAACCCCATAGAAAAACCCCTGCAAACCCAAGAAAAACCCCTGCAACCCCAAAGAAAACAACCTGCAGCCCCACAGAAAACCCCCTGCAAACCCACCAAAAAAAATCCTGCAGCCCCACAGAAAAACCGCTGCAGCCCAACTCGGGGTTGGGATCCATGTGTTGGGGATAAGGGGTTTCATGCATAACCCCATCAGTATGACAGGAATGATGTTAAAGAAGAAGAAAAAACAAATCCCTCATGAGAGCCATCAAAGTGAGATAGCAATTTATTAAAAAGCTGATAAAATAAAGGCCTATACTCTTTACGGACTTCCATCCATTTTCTAGAAGAACCAGTAGCATAATCTCCATCATTCATTGACTCAATAAAAATGTGTATTAATTTGATATAAAAACAGCTTTCTGACACAGTTGGTAGTGTCATTAACATTTAATTTTCTTTTTTTAAATTTGTATTATTTTAATAATCACCAATCTATTTTTACATTTTTTTGTTGTACTCACCTTTCTCAAGTCGGTAGAGTTTGTATTGGCTATTTTCCTTGTGATTAAGAGCAAGAACCCTGACTTGAGGAGCAGAAGACATCCTTTTAGCTTAACCTGATGGTTTTGGGAGGAGAGAGGGAGAAACATGTTTTTATTTTCTTTAATCTACTAGTTCATTTAATGGGTTAAAAAATGAATATTTATCATGTGTTTCTGAATTTATGCAGAATTAAGGAACTGCAGAAGAGCTTTACCAAGATTAAAATAAAAAGCTTAGTCAAACAGCTAAAATTACAAGTTTATGTATCAAAGCGATGTTTTTTTGGATAGTAATCAGTGTTTCATATTTGAAAAATCCTTTTAAAAAAGTCACAAGATAATATTATATTTTGTAAAAACATCAGGTTCTTCTCTAAGCTGAAGCAGTTCCATTAAATTTTTAAAATGCATTTTTGCATTTGACGCATAAAAAATAATTTATATAATACTATTAGAGGCAGAAGGGAAAATATATAGTTTAATTAGAAAGGGTTGGACATGGTTCAGCTAAATAAGTCAGTTACCCAGTGTAATTCAAATTTAATTCAACCCTTAAAAACAAAGTTTTTCATATAAATCCTTATAAAATCTAATATCAAGCTATGGGGAGTGGAGCTGAAAATTCGACAAAACATGCATTCTTTAAACAATCTTTTTAAGAATCCCAATTAGCCCTGCCACCACAACGCTTGCACCTCTTATTTTTTTCATGCCCCTTTTTATGTATGAGACTTTTTCCACGTGCGTAAACTTTGCTTGACCCCAAATGAGATTCCCAGCATAGATGGGCGTGGCCTGTTCGTTTGATGTATCATGTTTACTACAGACTACCAATAAAACATGGTTAGTCTGTCTCCTAGTATCTTGTCGAAGGTTCTTGATTTGCCGAGAAACTTAAGCAAATGCTGAGTAGTTTCTGGAAGGCAGGGCTTATGCTGCATATATAAAGAGATTGACAGACACAGAGACAGAGAGAGATTCAGATAGATATTATTAACTTTACGAGACAATTGTATTATTCTTTGTGTGCTCATATGTGTTTATTCGCATTCATCATTATTAATTGGCACATTTTACTAATTGTGTACCGGTATAACATTTTCCCATACTCTATAAGTTGATGATTTGTAATTATATTTTATTTTGTTTTGTAATTGTATTATTACTGAATTAAATCTTATTAATTGTAATTGGTATTGTTTTGCGTGTCATATCTTTATAATTGTATTTCTCTAAGGTATCGTCCTTTGTTGTGCACTGAGTGAACGAGCCATAACTTAAAACAAGAAATTCATTTCTCACAATAGAAGCCAGTGCGTAACACCCAGAACTATTTAATATTCTCAAGTCCCACACACTTTTACATCGCTGATTTATTACACCAACTATTTCCTTAAAATATTACACACCAAACTACAATATTTTTAAGAATATGGTTTAGTGCAGTTATCTGGAATTTTAATTAATGAAATCAGTGGCATTATATTTCCTTCAACTTCCCCTTGAAAAACAGGTAAACATGATTTTTGGGGGTTGGGGGTGGGGGGGAAAAGGCTGAAAATTTTAAAGATTGTGTAGCCATCGGCAGCGAGCATATGTGCCAAGTTACAGCTTGATAGGTTGACTGGAAGTGGATCAATTGGTCTTCCGAAGATTTTGCCACATGAGCAAAAGTGAAGTTAATATAAAGGATTTAAAAAATACAACTATTGCTGCTTATTTGCCACAAACCCAGAAAAAAAGAAGTGAAAAATAGTGAATCTTAATATAAAGGATATAATTATGAGTTGCTGCTCATTTTTTACAAAGAAAAAGAAATAATACTTTTCTTTTTGAACGTATTATTTTGTTTTATTATAAAGTATAGTGAGTTCAAAAAGAAATTTGACGAAAATTTGATCGTGTGAACTGAAAAAAAAAAATTCCACCAAACTTCAGTTCCATCAAATTTCCGTCTATCTATTTTCCATCTACCAAATTTCTTTCCAACAACTAATTTCCGGTAACCATCAAAAAAGCCATTTACAATTAATTATTTTTATTAATCATGCATTGGAAGCGGAAGACCTAAAACTCCCTCAATATGAAATAAGACCAGAGAATTTATTATCCACTGCATCATAATCATGTGTCACATCTTGTATATAATAACTATAATATAGGCCACCATGCCACCCCACCCTCCATCATTTTCTAGAAAAAAACAACAAGAAAACCACAACAAAAAACCATTAATGGCATTTGTATTTATTATTTATATTTTTAAGGAAGCATATTGAGCAGAGTAAAGATGTATCTAGGGATTCAGTGCAATAATAAATATATACTGTAAGATTAAGATAAGGCAAGTTAATGTTTTGAGGTACCCATTTGCCAGCCCAAAGCAAAGGCTACTTACTTCCTGATGAATTAATTTACATAATTTAATTTTTAATTAAAAAAACAAATATTTAATAACCTAGCCTACAGACTAAAACTAAGATGATGTCCATGACTCCATGTAAAAATGATAAAATGATATTTAATACTTAGCCTATTAATTTATTATTTATCATCAATATTTAAAATAAAAATACTCCTATTAATACTAATATTAATACTAAACTTTACTCAGTGAAACTCTGTCACTGAGTCAGTTTTGACAGTTACCAAGTACTTGAGTAGGCGAGTAGGAAATCACAAGTCATTAGTGTCACTGCTCGCTCAAATGAAATATAGTAAAACGCTTAAAACGCGTGTGTTATATTATAGTTTTAGTCTACCATGTCTCAAATCAATGGACTCAACGTCTCAGGATGTCTGCACTATTATGTGTATTTTAATAATTAATATGTAAAAGTGAATAGATACTTAATACTTAATGATTAATACCTTACAAAAATAATATCGGACCAAATAATTTTCTAAATATTAGACCTTGTTTCTTTTCTTCTTACCTCCTGTACACAGAAAATATTACAAAATTAATGTGTGCTTCATAATTCGTCACCGACCAGTTAACAGAACAAGATACCTAACTAAATAATAAATGCTTTAAGGTGGACAGACAGTGTCAAATAGTCTAGCAAATTGCTGACCTTTGAAAAATCAAGATACCAGAATCGATATAAAAAATAACTTTAAATAATGAGTTATCATTTAGAGTTGTTGACAATATCTTAGAAAATTTTACATTTGTACTTTTCATACGTATATTTATATATTTATTGAATAAATTACACTTTTTTTTTTCCATTTCTAAAATTTCAAATATTAAATAAGTGGTATCGCTGATAGTTTTAATATAACGATATCAAAACCAACAACCTGTCCTTGACCGTATGACCCTTAGTAAAGACGAAAGAGGGAGAGAAAGCAGGAAATGTTTATAAACATTGCAGTAGAACTCATGGTTGTTTCCCTTTTTATGTTTATTTTTAGCACAGTAATAGTATTAATAGTATTATCGTGATTTTCACTCAATTCAAATAATTTATTATGCTGTTATTTTGTGGCATTAATTGGTCAAATGATTGCAAATCCAACCTGTTAAAGGTATATGATGTGCGTCATCAGCGTTGACGAGATGAACCTTCGCATAGCAATAGAGCCGTCGCCTGGGCCTTGCTAACAGAGTGACCAGATGCACAAGCGAGACTTTGTGCCACCCGGCGCGGAATTTGAGTCCCTCCCCCCCCCCCCCGCCCCACCCTCTGCCCCCCGAAAAAAAAACATATTGTGCTTTTGAAAAGTGAAACCTGGAAATAGCTAACCTTGAAATTTTACTGTCCCTGGCATATGCGCTAATTTGCCCGCGGAACCTAATAATTTTTTAACATTTTCTGAACCTGAGAATAGCACCACTTTTGCATAAGTCCCAAAGGTTTGAACTATATCCAGTTTTCACTGCTTATTAAATAGTGTCGGTTTCGTCACTTTGATCAGTGGGTTTGGGAGAAATCACAATCGCCGTATGCTTCAGAGGCAACCCAAAGCGCGGGCAGGGCTTTGGGGATTGAACCCATTTCCCCCCGAAAGTTTCTGATAAATTAACAATACAAGGATTCATTTTTTCGTATACGTCAATTTAGTTTTGCATCAATCTAAGCTAAATTGATTCAGCAAAAGAGAAATGCCGTGAACGTTAAGTGTCCGTTGAGCCTGAACGTGTTGACAGTGGCGTGGCAAGGGTGTTTGGCGCCCGGGGACATCTGTCCCTCCCTGCCCCCACCACGCTACGCCTAGATGTTGATACACATCTTTTATTTTTAACGGTTACTAACGTGTCGTGTTGTTTTATTTTATACATTTAAAATTTAAACCAATGGTTGGTGTCACCCGGTGCGGTTAACCTCATGGTGTCACCCCCCACCCCGGTCGCCTTCCACGATGGATTTCTTCTCTCTTGTTATAATAGGTCGACGGTACAAAAAATCAGGGTTTCTGTCAGCTATATCTCCGGGGGGGGGGGGAGGGGGCACTGCCCCCCGGGGAAACCCAAGTGCCCCCCCCCGGGGAAAGCCAAGTGCCCCCCGGATCAAAAATATGTCCGACAATAAATCAACTGGCACTGCCCCCCCCCTCCCCCCGAAAATCTATGGCACGGGGGGACATGTCTGAAATAATCACTGATAACAATGACAAGGGGGATACAATTAAATCAAGTTCAGGATGTCAATGTAGTTAAGAACTGTAACATGTACTTAGAATCGTCCAACCACAATTTGTTGTCAATGGAAAGCTTCATTTCTCAGAATTGAGATAAATATAGCCTTATAGCCTTATAGCGTTGACGAAAGTTACCGCACACTTCAATAGACGTTGAATCCTTGTATAACCTAATTGTCGGGTCACCTCGTTTCTGACGCGTCAACCTTTAACTTTAAATAAAGCACGCATTTGAATTTGGTTACATGTGTGGAAAATTGACGTGTGATTGGTTATCCTTTTATGAAATCTATTTAGACCGAGCAGTGTGTCTTCTGTAAAATATGCATTTGTTTTTCAATCCTATCTCAACCCACCCCACCCCACTTTATTGATTTAATTTTTTTTTTTTTTTTTTTTTTTTTTTTTTTTTGAGATGGTGTCACTCAGCTAAGCCACTGATTTAAACTATTATAAAAACAATTAAACTCTTGAATTTGTTTAAACTTCTTAAATAGTAAATGAATTTTTTGTTGTTGTTAAGTTGCCAATGGGAAGTACCGGCGCTTAACGTAACAAAATAACTTTGGACACAGCTTAGACAGCTATGTGTCCTTATGTTGACTGTGCCCTGAGCCTCGTACTACAATCGGGGTACTAAGAAGAGGAAGAAGAAAAAAAAGGTTCTCCTTGGGGTACACCACCCCCTTCCATGGGCGCCGCAGGTAGGGGCAAGGTGGGGTACTTGCGCCCCCCCCCCCCCCCCGCCGGGGGC